TAGGTGATAGGAATTTTTCAGTTCCATTAAGAGCCCAGCATCTTCTATGATGTCATTGTTGACTTGGCCATGCATTGTTACAATAATTAGCTCACACCAGCACTTTTATGGCTTCCCAGGCAAACAAAATAAATGGCAAAACGTATTAGGAAAACAATATAATGACCTGCTACAACCTCCACTGACCTTGTGCAGAGAGGAAAGAGGATTCACGGGTGAAACATCAATATATTAGGCATCTTCTTCCATTCATTATTTTCCTTTCTCTTCCATTACCTCCAAAGAAAAACTCAGGCTCTTGATTTAGCACACATATCCTTAAATAAAATCCCTATCATTGTCAGGCAATGAGAGGAATGTTGCAAATACACCCAACAATCTGGGCATAAGGAACTTCTTTCTTTAGCGTCGTAGATATTCCTGATTTTCCCATCCAGTCTCTAACCTTACAAAGAAAAGTTGTTTACTTTTTATTCCACGAACAGGCATGATTCTGAGATTTCTGTGTATTACTACCAAGCTCCAAAACCCGCTCTGTCATAAATCATTCATTCATTCCATCTGTATTTAAGCTCTTAATATGCACACAACATTGTTTTTGCCTAGATCTGTGCCTAGCACAAAAGCAGCATGAAACCACGTATCTGGTCTTTCTGGTACTCCCCGATTTGAGGAGTGTTTTACCATGTTCGGCTATATTTGAAGGTTTAAACTAAGGAGAAGACAAAATAGGAAGCTGCTAAGGTGAAACCCCCAATGCCTTTGAAGATATTTAGGAACGTGGAAAGAGGAGGAGTGTTACTTGACTCTAATGCCAACTCAGCTCCATGGATTGTCCAGACATTTATACAACACACCTCCTTGGTGAGCCAAAACTCCCAGATAAATGAAGGGAGAAAAGAAAATACTCTCATTTTCCACTTAGAAACTCTATGTTTATTATTAATGTATTAGAACATTTTATAAATTTCCCAAAGTGGCGATCAGCTCTGAGTTAGAATCAGCTATTAAAATCAAACACACGCGCATTTAAAGATTTACCATGGATTCAACTAAACATTAATTAATATGGCATTCCAGAAAGGAGTCAGTGTTAAAAATTATTTTCAATCTCCAGTGACCTATACTTAAATCCCTATTGCCTCCTTTTTGTTCAGACTCTTGCTTTTCTAGAGAAATTAGTCCTACGACAACTTGCCATAGACAGTCTTTATCAAAATATCAAATTAAATGGCATCTCTAATCAGGAATATAAGGACAGGCTCAATTCCAACATGTTAGTGTTCTTGGGTTTGCAAAAGCATGAGAAAGAACTAAAAATAATGAAGTAGGCCTTCAGCCAAAAAATTCAAACTGTAATAGTTGTTCTAATGGCAGAAGCTGAAAACAGTGAAATTCTTAGATGTACTTCTCTTGAACTTCATTTGTATCAATTCTCAAAGAGTATGTAAAGTAGGGATGGGCACAGTGGCTTAGGGCCAGCACGGTGACTCATGCCTGTAATCCCAGCACTTTGGGAGGCCGAGGCAGGCAGGTCATGAGGTCAGGAGTTCGAGACCAGCCTGGCCAACACAGTGAAACCTCGTCTCTACTAAAACTACAAAAAAATAGATGAGTGTGGTACAGCGCATCCAGAATCCCAGCAACTTAGAGGTTGAGGCAAGGAGAATCACTTGAACCCGGGAGGCAGAGGGTGCAGTGAGCCAAAATCATGCAACTACACTCTAGCCTGGCCAACAGTGTGAGACTCTGTCTCAAAAAAAAAAAAAAAAAAAGTACATAAAGCATTTCTAAGGAACATGGGCATGGGTTACTCAAGGGACAGTAACTGACGTGAAGTTCTTAAAATTTGTCTGTAATTAACTAGAACATAAAGAATATGACTTATTGTTCAGTGTCTCTTCAGGAACTTCTGGTTCTGCTAAGAAAATCAGTTGCAACAGCTTCAAACTAACAGTGATACTAAACATGGCTGCCAAGACCAGCTCCTAAGGATAACTGGAAACGTGAGAATAGCTTCTCAAATATGAAACTTTGTCCTATTTCCAGGACTACGATTATCTGGAATCCAAGTTCTTTTTCTAAAAAAGAAAGGGAAGAAAAAAGCAGTTCCTATAACAAACCTGGTGTGCCTTTGTCCTTCTCTGTTAATTTAGTTTTATTTTTAAGCATGCAAACTTATGTTTAACAAAGAATGAAGGTAAAAGCAGGCAGCTGTGATGTATTTTAAGGAAAAGTGGATGAGTATAAGGAAGTCTACCATTTACTAGACTGCATATTCTTAGGTAAGTCACTTTAACCCATAAACATACTCATTGCTTTATGTGTAAAATGGGAATATTTGTGAAGCTTGAAATGGGTATATTCTTTAAAATATCATAGAAGCTGGTACATTCTAGTTATGTAATAAATGTTGGAATGTGACTTAATATAGAATGAAATCAACACTCATGATTCATGTCACTCTTTTTTTATTTTATTTTTATTTTTTTTTTGAGACGGAGTTTCGCCCTTGTTACCCAGGCTGGAGTGCAATGGCGCGATCTCGGCTCACCGCAACCTTCGCCTCCTGGGTTCAGGCAATTCTCCTGCCTCGGCCTCCTGAGTAGCTGGGATTACAGGCACGCACCACCATGCCCAGCTAATGTTTTTGTATTTTTAGTAGAGACGGGGTTTCACCATGTTGACCAGGATGGTCTCGATCTCTTGACTTCGTGATCCACCCCCCTCGGCCTCCCAAAGTGCTGGGATTACAGGCTTGAGCCACCGCGCCCGGCTTCATGTCACTCTTACATTTACTTTTTTTTTTTTTTTCCCAGGAGTCTCCCTCTGTTGCCCAGGCGGGAGTGCAATGATGTGATCTCTACTCACTGCAACCTCCGCCTCCCAGGTTCAAGTGATTATCCTGCCTCAGCTTCCTCCTGAATAACTGGGATTATAGGCTCATGCCACCATGCTCAGCTAATTTTTTTCTGTATTTTCAGTAGAGATGGGGTTTCACCACGTTAGCCAGGTTGGTCTTGAACTCCTGGCCTTGTGATCTGCCCACGTAGGCCTCCCAAAGTGCTGGGATTACAGGCCTGAGCCACCACTCGAGGCACATTTACTCTCTTATAACTAAAGTAAGAGGGGCACCTCAGAATATGACCCACCTCCCCAACACAAGGTGGCTTCATAAAAATCCTTGGGACTAAATTCTATGATCAAGAAGTCCAAGAGAATGCTTCAGCTAGAAAAAATGGGGTGGTGTGGAGAAGGTGAGGGAGAGGGAAATAGGAGAGAAAGGGAAAGGAGAAAGAAATAGGAAAAAAAGAAGTGTGAAGAAAAAAAATTATTCTGTGTTTAGCTTCTACTCTAGGAAGTGGTAACGAAGGATGTGTTCACTTTGTGAAAACTGGTCAAGATGGACATTTAAGATTTGTGGACTTTTTATGGATATACATTATGCTTCAATTAAAAAAGCTGACTTTAAATGTATCTTTCAAAAAAGAACTAAAAGAACATTCCATTTCTGGCTCTGAGCAAAGAAAAAAAATTAAATAAAAAAGGCCTATAAATATACCAGTTGATCAAAGTGTACTTATAGGAACTCTGGTGAAAAGAAGCTAGAATTCCAAGTGGGAGAGACCTAGATTCAAATCTAGTTCTGTTGGCTGACCATGGGCAAACTAACATTTCTGAGCCTTGGTTTTTCTCTTCTGTATAATGGAGTTAAGAGTAACTTTCTTTAAGAGGCACGTAGGCACCAACAAATATCATTCCCTTCTTCCCTTCCCTATTCCTGCTCTGTTCTGAAGAATCACATCAAGGACAGAGTCCAAACCAAGTCTTGTCATCTTAATATGGTGCCTGGCACATGAGGAGCAGCTGGATAAAACTTTGTGGAATGGGGAGGCAGAGTTGCAGTGAGCCGAGATCGTGCCACTGCACTCCAGCCTGGCAGCAGAGCAAGAGTCCATCTCAAAACAAAACAAAATGAAACAAAACAAAACAAAACAAAACAAAAGTTTGTGGAATGAAAGGCCAGATTTTTACCTTCTAGGGACCTATAATCTCAGAGTCAGAAGAAAAAGACCATGAAAAAAATCCATCACTTCCAAGCCCGCCACCACTTGCTGGTGGCTTCCATTTCTCCAAATCACAAATAATCTCTCCCAACAGGCTATGGTACTGAGATTTCTTTAAAAAGGCTACACTTCCTGCTATTTGCTTTTGCTTACATAAAACCAACTCTGCCTCATCATTCTTTAGTATCCCTGATTTGCAAGACTCTTGGCATGGTATTCTCTCCCTCGTAATTCTTATAGTAGTTGTTTGACCATTTCTCACCATTCAAGGTCTTATTCCATTTAACGCTTCCATTTAACTTTGAAAATGTGTTACTTTCACAGCATCTCTTACAAGGCAAGTGCTCAAATTTAATTTTGATTGATTTAATTCTCGGAACACAAATTTGGAACTCATCTAAATACTAGCTATGCTAAGTCTCTACTCAACTAGTTTCATGTAAGAAGAATAGACAAACCAGGAATAGCAATAATAGTAAGACTGATACCTGTGACAGACTAATGTAATAGATTTATTTCCCATTGAATTTAGGAATGCTTAGAATTCTTCTAACACAGCAGTCCAGGAAGCCACTACCAATCAAAGTTGCCATCAGTTGAAATCTATGTCATTCCCAGGAATAAATATCCTCCACTATGACAGCTCTTTTATACCTTATGACCTCAGAAAATATATCCAAAATCTGTCTTAACACAGGCAATGTTTCCTGCAAAATTCCTTAAGGCACAGAATTCATACCTTTTATGTTAATCTTCTAACACACAACTACTATACCTCAAAACCAAAAGATGACGTACATAACGGGTACTTGAAAAATTCATGAATTAAAAATGTCTTACAGGGAAAGCACTTGTCTCCTTGGGAAAGAACGGTGTGTGGTTTACATCTATTTTTTTTTTTTTAGAACGTTTTTATCACCTGAAATTCCTTTTAAAAATATGGAACGCTTCACGCATCTGCATGTCATCCTTGCGCAGGCGCCACGATAATCCCCTCTGTATGGTTCCAATTTTAGTATATGGGCTGCCGAATGATGGTGGCCTGATCAGGCGTCAGATCTCAGAGCAGAAGGCAGAGGTCTTGTCATACAGGTTTTACTCTGTCCCACAAACCCCATCCAATAGTGCTTGACTAATTCGGAATGGTTATTATTCAACATTTGGAGAATCAGAACTCCAAGCATAGAAAGCAAACAAGAAAAAAGTTTAAGTATGAAGATGGCCCAGACCGTGGCTGACTATGCACATTCCCTCACAAACAGCCCTCAATTATCTGTAAAGGAGGTAGCATTCCTCAAGGAATCCCTTCTTCCTCTTCTCTATCCCTCAAACAATTCTCAGATCAAACAACAAAGCTGCCTCTGCAAGGTCTACCAATATCCAGATGCTTCTCCAAATGTAAAAACGTAAAAATGAATTGTTAGTCTTTTAATAACTAATGCAATCAGTCCATCTAAGAGTTTAGCAATTTCCCCTATCAACACACTTCTCTTCACCCTCACCCTTACTTTTCTGAGCTTTCAAGCACTGAAACATTTGCCTGGTACCAGCAACACAGCCTTTGCACAAAGGGTTGGAGAGAACAATCCACAAAGTCTCTGTCTGTTTCATCATGATGGTTCCCCTTTCTAATAGGAAGTGTGCTTCCTGTCCATCCTTTGACTTCTGTTGTCAGTGGGAACCCTGTTACCTTAAAATAACATTCTGAACTCACCTGCTTACTGCTGAGCACGCTAGCACTTTCAGTAGTGACACTTAAAAATGAAAAGCTCCATTAATTATTAAAAATGTAAAATGAGATAGTCTGAATTAGGAATATGCTCTCACTTTGCTGTTTATAGTAGCCAGCGGTTCTGCCATATTATATATGAATTCATAAATTATGCTGTGAGGTTTACTGTCATACCACATTGAACTTGGTAAGAATCTATTCTAGGTCTTCCCGATTAAATTCACATTTAAAAAAAAAATTAATGGGTAAGTATTAATCCACTAGTAAGAAGCTCTTACTTTTTAAAGCAACTTATAAAGTCTAGTAATCAGCCTGTGAGCAAGTTCAGGTATTTATAAGCCTATAAAATACACCTGCCACATGTAGGTTTTTACACTTGAACAGTAAGATGACATCAGCTCTGCGACATTTTCGAAAAAGCTAAATAGCTACTTCACTTGTGAAATCAAAGGGCAATCAAAAACATAGGTTATATTTCTATTTCTTAAATAGGATCTAAAGTTTAAAGAAACAGCTTTCTGTCTCATTTTAGCCAAACATTAAAGTTTCACTAATTTAGTAAACATTTATTTGGTATCCAAAAATGAACATAAATACTACATGCTGGAAAAAAAACTCTTTAAGCAAATAAATGCTATCAGTAATACAGGTTTAAGGGGGATGACATATGTTCTCTTAAAAGAACTATTTTCCAAAACTGGATTTACAAAGAATAAATAAAACTTAAAGCTATTCTGTATCTCTTACAAATCAGTCTCTTAAAAACTCATTTTACAATAGGGTCCGGACAATAATAAAAACAGAACTGCTGGGCACAGTGGCTCATGCCTGTAATCCTAGCACTTTGGGAGGCCAAGGCAGGCAAATCATCTGAAATCAGGAGTTCAAGATCTGCCTGATCAACATGGTGAAACTCCATCTCTACTAAAAATGCAAAAATTAGCTGGGCATGGTGGTGCAGACCTGTAGTCCCAGCTACTCAGGAGGCTGAGGCAGGAGAATCGCTTGAACGTGGGAAGTGGAAGTTGCAGTGAGCCAAGATGGTGTCACTGAACTCCAGCCTGGGCAACAGAGCAAGAAAACAAAACAAAACAAAACAAATAACAACTTAAAACTAGTTGAGTAAAGAATATAGTGGCCTAAAGAAACAGTAATTAGCCCCAAATTATAAATAATTAAGTTGATGACAGAAAGAGGAGCAGGTAATTCCCAGCTTTCAGATCCATATCTGGCCCTCTTTCTCAAGGAACCCTTGCGCGCTTAAATTTGGTTGTATTGTAAACTTGAAATAAATATAAAACATGGGAACAAAAAATACGTATTTTTTAATTTATTAATGATTCACACAGTTCACTAAATCAACCTAGTATAATCCCTATTGGTCCACAAACAGGATCACATACACTTATAGTTTTAAAGATGTTGGCTCTTCTTTTATTACCTACTATCTGATCTCTTTAAACTCCAGTGTTCTCATCTACAATATGGCCTAATACAATGATAAAGATAACATACTAGAAGTGAATTTTCTTTCTTGTAAATGAAAAGGATAGTTTTAAATTTCCAATTGCAGCTGAATGGCCTGATTGGCATTTCTCAATGTCTTACTCTTGGTTTAGAATGGGTACAATTACTATATACATGTTCTTTTTTAGCCACGACACCAGGTTAGATTATCTACAGCAGCTTCATGGTAGGAAATCCTACCACATGGGTAGGCTAAGTAAACTTCATAAAAAAATATATCAAACAATGAAAGCCTGACCAAGTCTCAAATATAACAGGCTGACATCCAGCTCTAACAATACAAAGTATTGCCTGGGATGGGGCACATGCCTAAAAGGAAGCTTGCTGCCTGGTACTTCTGGCTGGTGGGTCCTCAGGAGCCCTTCTTCCTTTCTTTTGATCTGCTGGTAAAAGCCCTTTGACTGTCCCTCAATTGCCCTTCCTATGACAATGGACTAATAATAGGCCTGTCAAAACTACTAGAAATGTGTTTAAACCATGGCATTTTATTATCTTTTAAAGAATCTTAGCCAGGCATGGTGGTGGGCACCTGTAATTCCAGCTACTCAGGAGGCTGAGGCAGGAGAATCACTTGATCCTGGGAGGAGGAGATTGCAGTGAGCTGTGATCGCACCACTGCACTCTAGCTTGGGTGACAGAGCAAGACCCCATCTCAAAAAAAAAAAAAAATGACTCAAATTCCACCCCAAACTTTTGGCCAAGAGGTGTTCTACCATAACACCTTTAAGAGAAAGTTAGGGGAGAATTTCTCAATGAAGAAGACACACTAAAGGCTTAGTGGCAGAGCTGAAATTAATTTAAATGCCTTTGAAATGCTCATCCTTTTTTGCTGTCTGTCCCTTATACTATTCAAATTTAATATAGTATGGATACGTGTCCCCTCTAAACTCATGTTGAATTACAATCCCCAACGTTGGAAGTGGGGTCTGAGGGAAGATGACTGGGTTACAGGGGCAGATTTCTCATGAATTTTTAGCTCCGTCCCCTTGTGCTGTCCTCGTGAAAGTGAGTGAGGTTTGTGAGATCTGAACATTTAAGGGCATGTGGGCCAGGTGTGGTGGCTCACTCCTGCAATCCCAACACTTTGGGAGGCCAAGACGGGCGGATCACAAGATCAAGAGATCGAGACCATCCTGGCCAATAAAGTGAAACCCCGTCTCTACTAAAATACAAAAAATTAGCCGGGTGTGGTGGCAAGCACCTGTAGTCCCAGCTATTCAGGAGGCTGAGGCAGGGGAATCATTTTAACCCAGGAGGTGGAGGTTACAGCGAGCTGAGACTGCACCATTGCGCTCTAGCCTGAGCAACAAGAGGGAAACTCCTTCTCAAAACAAAAAAGAGTATGTGGCACCACCTCCTGCGCCACTCTACCCCTCTTGCTTCTGCTTTTGTCATGTGACATGCCTGCTCCCCCTTAGTCTTCCACCATGATTGGAAGCTTCCTGAGGCCTCCTCAGAAGCAGATGCCAGTGCTATGCTTCCCGTACAGCCTGCAGAACCATAAGCCAATTAAACCTCTTTTCTTATGAATTATCCAGTCTAGGGTATTTCTCTATAGCAGTACAAGAACAGCCTAACACAAAGTTAAAAAGAGAAAAAAGGAAGGAGGATAGCTTTAACAAAAGAGCTATTATGATGCCAAGCCCCAAAGGCACCTCCAATAAATTCTTGTTGAGTCGGTGTGGCAGGACAGATTTCTTCTCAAATGCTTCAGAAGAAAGGTAAAGGAAGCTTCCCTTTCCCTCTAACTGGCTTTCTCAGAAAATGTACTCACTCAATCAACACATAATTATTGAGCTGCATCTCTGGGTCAGGCATGGTTCTGGGTCTTTGGGATGCAACTATGAGCAAGAGGAGGTTCCTACTCTCATGGAGCTCACATTCTATTAAGAGAGTAAGACAAGAAGCAAGCAAGGAGTAATGAGGAAAACAAATCAATGTGGCTAGCAAATACCTAGCCAATAATGAGAGAAATCGAAAATGGTGGAGACACAGTGGTGGTAGGGCAGGGGCAGACTAAGCCTGGATCTCCAAAGGCCTTGTAGACCGCACAAGGTGAGATGAATGGATTTAATTTCAAGTGTGATGGGAACATTTTGAAGATTTTAATGAAGGTTTTTAACCAAACCCTGAAATTTACTGCAGACTAAAATTCCAGCCATTTAATATAGCCTACATTAAAAATTTCTTATGATGGGAAGCTAAGTGAAAAAATGTTACTACAGGCCGGGCACGATGGCTGATGCCTGTAATCCCAGCACTTTGGGAGGCTGAAGCAGGTGGATCACCTGAGGTCAGGTGTTTGAGACCAGCCTGGACAACATGGTGAAACCCCGTCTTTACTAAAAACATAAAAGGCCGGGCGCAGTGACTCATGCCTGTAATCCCAGAACTTTGGGAGGCCAAGGTGAGTGGATCACCTGAGGTCAGGAGTTCAAGACTAGCCTGACCAGCATGGAAAAACCCCGTTTCTACTAAAAATACAAAATTAGCTGGGCATGGTGGCACATGACTGTAATCCCATCTACTCTGGAGGCAGAGGCAGGAGAATCGCTTGAACCCCGGAAGCAGAGGTTGCGATGAGCCGAGATTGTGCCATTGCACTCTAGCCTTGGCAACAAGAGCAAGAGCAAAACTCCATCTCAAAAAATAAAATAAAAATAAATAAATAACAATAGCTGGGCAGGGTGGTGCGCGCCTATAGTCCCAGCTACTCAGAAGGCTGAGGCACGGGAATCACTTGAACCCAGGAAGCAGAGGCTGCAGTGAGCTGAAATTGCACCA